CCCCGCCCAGGCGGCGCCGAACCAGAACTCGTTGTGACCAGCCCGGCTCCCGTAGGGTCTCTTCCTGTGTTTTCCTGAAACGTCATCAACGCGCTCCCAGCCGGCGACCAATCGCGGCAGCGCCGGGCTCGTGCGCATGCCCACTTGGCTCCCATCCGGGCTCTCAGGTGCGCAGACCCCGGGGAGTAGGCCCGGGAGAGGAGGACCTGGCCAGGACCCGAGCGGGGCGGGGCGGGAAGCCCGCGGCTGGGAGGGCTCCCTGCTCCATCGCCCCCGGGAGCCTCGCTCGCCTGCGGCTGTGACACCGTGGTTGGATAGCATTAGCACTCTCCCGGCGCCACGGCAAACTTAAGTGACAGTTGCGGGCACAGAAGTAGTAAATTGGGAGCTAGAGTATGTTCCTGGTCTGTCAGACGCAGGTTGGCCCGGCCCAGATCCCTAAGGTCAAGAGCCAGGCTGCTCCGTGTCCGCAGGCGCCCAGCGCAGTGTGTGCAATGACAAAAGGATCCCATGCCGATGCCAGGGTGATGCGTGATGCCTGGTGTCGAACCACTGGCGCTGTTTGGCAGCGTTTGCCTCCAAAGGGAGTCTGGTGGGAAGACCCTGGGGTCCCTGCATCTCTCCATCATCTGTGTGACCATTAACTTTTCTCTCTTCCCTTAATCTTTGTGACAAATAACTAGGCCTGGAACAGGTATGTGAAAAGATGCTGGATACCACTAGTCATCAGGGAAATGCGACTCAACCACAATGGTATGTTATTCAGCCCTTAAGTCCTGTCATTTGTGACAACGTGGATGAACCTAGAGGACACTGCTAAGTGAAATAAGAAAGGCAGATACAGCATGATTCCACCTACATGTGGAATCTAAAAAAGAAAGTTGAACTCTTTGTAACAGAGAGTAGAATGATGCTTATCAGGGCCTGGGGAGAAGTTTGTCAAATAGTACAAATTCAAGATAAACAGGCTCTGGAGACATAATTAATAATATATCCTATACTTCAAATCTGCCACAAGGAGATTGCAAATGTTCTTACCACAAACGCAGAAAATGGGAAATACATGAGGTGATTGTTAAGTTCATTAGTTCCATTATGCCGTCATTTCACAATGTATACATATATCAAAACATCACATTGTACACGTAAATACATACTTTTATTTGTCAGAAATAAGGTATTTTAAATCATTTTTTTAAAAAAGAGAGAAATGTTAGGTCTTGTTTGGTTCATTGGTACCCCAGCGCCTAGCGCTGTGCTTGGCACTTAGGCTGGATGAGCATCCGTCGGACAAACAGGAGATCTGTGTGGTTACGGTAGAAATCAAGGAAGCAAAAGCACAGACACGGGCATCCTACTAGCCGGCTCCGTTTGCCTAAGATGAAGTAGCAGCGCTACGAGAACGCAGGACCTTGATACTGCTGGATTAAATCCACCTACTATCGGTATCATTACCATTTTTACCGTTGTTATTACACAAGTACTCCAGATGCATGGCAGGAAAAGGTGAAAATACAGAAAGGCGCAAAGACAAATCCCTGAAAATAAGTATTTCCAGGGTGCTTTGGCCAGGAGTAAAAAGAGAGTAACCATCTCCCTTCCAGCTGCCCCTCTGCCACAGGTTTGTCTATCCCTGTGTGTCAGAGCAATTTCCCTCCGCATTCCCAGGAAAGGGGTCGGCTAACTCCGCCCATGCCCCGCCTCCGGACCCAGGCCCCGCCCGCTGCGGCGCGAACCGGAAACGCGCTGGGAGGCCGGCTCCTGCATTGGGCACGCGCGGGAGCAGGCGCGCGCAAGCGCAGAAGCCGCCGGAAGCGCGGTTTCGAGTCTTTCCTTCCCGGCTTTCTCCATCTTCTCCCCGGACCCTGGTCACAGCCGCAAGTGACCCTTTCCCCACCCCAGGGGGGCGGTGGCAGGTGAGGACAGGGCCCGGGCTGTAGGGAGGGGGTCCTGCCGTCCCTAACTGCAGCCTTGCCGGCCCTCAGGCCCAGCCGCTTAGGGGTCTCCTCCCCAGGTCTTCCTCCCGAGGTCCTCCTCCCCGGATCCTCCTCCCGGGGGTCTCCTCCTGGGGGCGGTCTCCTCCCCAGGTCTGCCTCCCGAGATCCTCCTCCCCGCACCCTCCTCCCAGGGGTCTCCTCCTGGGGGGGTCTCCTCCCCAGGTCCTCCTCCCAGGGTTCTTCTCCTAGGGAGGGTCTGCTCCTGCGGGTCTCCTGCCCGGATCTTCCTCCCAGGGGTCTCCTGGGGGGGTCTCCTCCCCAGGTCCTCCTCCCAGGGTTCTTCTCCTAGCGGGGGGTCTGCGTCCTGGGGGGTCTCCTGCCCGGGATCCGTCCTCACTGGGGTC